AGGCGCAAGTGGGACGAAGCCCGGCCGCTCCTCCCGGGGAAGCCCCTCACCAGCTCTCCTGCTCCGGCCGCAGGCTTCGTACCCGCCGCCAACACGGACGCCGCCTGGGTGGGCACCTGGAGACCCCACCGCCCGCGCGGGCCCATCATGGCCCAGTTCACCAGCCCGGGACCCAAGTACTCCGTCCCCGGGACAACAGGTAAGAGCGCCAGCGCCAGGGCAGAGCCACGGCCGCCGCCTCCAGGGGACGAGCAGCCACAGCTCCCTTCCCCTTTGCTCCCAGCCTCCGCGCCCTCAGCGGCAGCAAGGGCGAGCGCGCACCCCCGCATCCCTACGGGCCCCTCCTCTGGGAAGCTGCCATTCCTCCCGCTCTGCACCATCCCCGGGCGTTGCTCTCCGCAGAGCTAAAGGCCGGACTCGCTGTTCCCCTCGCACGGGAAACGCCACAGAGCGGGAAGCCTGTCTCGCGCCTGTGCTAGCATCTCCTTGCTCCCACCCCATCCTTCCCCGTCCTCGCTCCTGCTCCTCCCTCTCCCTTGCTCTCGCCGGGAGCAGTCGCACCCCCGCATCGCCCCGCTGCCATCCTCCCCGCAGGAAAAAGGCACCCAGGCCGGGAATTGCGGGAGGCCGTCGGCTCCAACTGCTCCGGCGGGAACCCAGCTCCCCGCAGGCAGGTGTCCTTTCACGGGCTCTTCTTCCCAGGTCACCTGGCTCACGACCCCACCAAAGCCAGAGCCCCTGCCTACACCTTTCAAGGGGCCAAACCTCCCCTCGCCGAGAGCTGCTCTCCGGGTCCCCGCTACTACGTCCGGCCCTCCGTCACCAGGGACGGCAAGCACGTGGCTCCCGCACACCACATCTGCGGGCTGCCCAAGATAAAGACCGAGGTCACCCCGGGACCGAGTGAGTATTGCGTCTGCAGCGCTTCTGCCAGCCAGCACAAGCACGCCTCGCTCTTGCCCTGCGCCACCGCGGCACAAAGCCGCCCGCTCGCCCCCGGAGTGCCCTTCAGAGGGCGACGGCCGGAGAGTGCTCGAGGCCCAGCACCTCCTCCTCACCCGGCCTCTCTGCCTGGAGGAAAAGCCCCAGCTTCACCGCTTGTCTCTGCTTCTCCTCCGCCCCAGGCGACTACTCCATTGAGAAGGCCAACAGGCACCGCTACCGATGCCCGCCGGAGCAGTCCATGGCCTTCCGGCACAAGGCCGTCAGAACCGACCCGTCGCCAGGTGAGGGAACGCGGGGAAATACACACCCTGGCAGCCGGCGGGGCCTCCGGCCAACATCTGGGGACGGCCTCGCAGCAGCCCTCGCGAAAAGCCGACGCAGCGGGACGCAACCGCCTCTCCACAAGCTGCTTCGTGTCCCACAGCACCCGCTCCTCCCCTCCCACCCGAGGACCGCAGCTCAGGCTGGCAGCTGCCCACCGCGCAGGCGCTGCCGGCAGGGGCAGGACATCCCTCCTGCTCCTCTCCCAGCCCGGCGCCGCTCCTCTCCCCGCAGCACTCACGCGCTCTGCCCGTTCCCCTTCCAGGTCCTGCCACCTACACCCTGCCCAGGCTGGTGGGGCCCAACACCGCCTACACCCGCGCCAGCCCGTGCTACTCCATGGCGGGGAAGAGCAAGGCTTCGGGCTTCGCCGAAGACCTCTCCAAGGTGAGCGACGCTCCTCGCCTCGGCTCTCTCCCGCCCGCAGAGCGAGCTCAGCTGCTCTCCTCAGGGCAGAAGGGCTCCAGCGCCCGCCGCAGCCTCTCCTCACGCGCACTGCGGGGGCACCACCACCCAGCGCAGCCCCCCGGGGCGCCCGGCAAGGAACGCCGCTTGCCTTCTGCGCCCAGCAACCCGCCCGCCTCTCTTACAGACGCCAGGGCCTGCCGCGTTCCCCAAGGTGGACCTGGACCTCTACAAGAAGAGGGCTCCCACCTACGTGATGGGAACCAAAGCCCGACCGGGAGGCGACCGAACCGCGAAGCCGGGGCCGGCGGACTACTGCCTGGGAAAGGTGAGGCAGCCTGCGCGCGGCCACAGCCAGCCCTGAAGCATCTCCCCCTTCCCACGGGGCTTCCCACTGCTCCAGGCCACCAGCCTGCAGTCACCGGCCGCAGGACAGCGCCCCCGCTGCCTTGCCTCGGCCCACAGCCCAGCACCGGCAGGCCCAGGAGCACAGCTCTGCCCTTCCGCTGCCTCCGCCTGTCACCGCTCACAGGCGCTCGCTCGCACACCACGTGCTCCTCAGGAGGACACCCCCTGCACAGGGGATGAGCACGCCCCGCCAGGGACCTTACCTTCCCCTGGGCAGCAGCTGGGAGGGCAGCGCCATCCTCCACCCTCACCTTTGGTGCGGTTCTCTCTCTCTTCCCTTCCAGGTGACGCTCATCAAGCCCCAGGCACCTGCTCCCACCTTTGGACTCCGCCACTCCGTCTACACCGCCCCTCTCATCCCGCCTCTCGGAC